AGTGGTAGGAGATAATGTGACTTGTTCCTGAACTTTTGCGTCTGTCAAGAAAAGGAATGTTTTCATGTATGATTCATTCTGTGTTTTGCTTTTTCTATAGTAAGATGCTAAAATGCAAACTGGTTTAGGTGCCAAGGCTATTTTAGTTTACTGTAAGGATATTTTTCTTAACATTTGAAATACGATATTGTATTAATCATCAAAATCTGAATGATGCTTTAGGATAGAAGATATATTTCTTAGGGACGTTCTTTCATACATGTTTATATTTTGTATGCTAAATTAAAGAATTAGAGGATGACTTAAGTTATGAAAGTAAGACAGAATTGATAGTGTGATGTTGTAAGAAAGTGTGTTCTGTTCTGAGATTCTTGCCCTTGCATTATTTTCTAATTGCACAATAGCTGCTGTAGATAGCTACTTTAGACTTTTTATTATTATTATTATAATTATTGTTCCATAGATAAACCGTTGAGAGATCTGCAGATGTATGCAAGTGCTGTAGGGTAACCATTTTTTAATTGGAATTGTGAAAGACTGAAAATAGCAGCCAAATTTGCTGAGGGTTTTAAGCCAAAGCCCTTGCTTTGGTCTAAATGGGGAATAAAATTTGGATGGGAGAGGGAAGAAAATACTGTTTTACCAAGGAAAGAGGGTACATATATTCAGAAGACTGATCGGATGCACGAACCTACTGTTTATGAATCTACTTCTTTGGCCAGTGGAGGAAAAAAGCACTGTTATGACCAGGATGGATTTCTTTTTTTTTTTTTTTTTCCTTCCCTTCTGCCTGTTCTATGTTTGCTTTCTCTGTCTTCCATGGGTGGTTTTTTTTCCTTCAGTTCCTCTTCTCTATTCCAACTTTTTAAAACTTACAGTCACGCATTCTTGCTTGTTCTTCCTCTGCTTCTTTCTGTCCCTTTTTTGCTGCCTTTGCTAACACCACACTTAAAGGCATCAGGATGAAAGACTAGAGGTATCTGCAGTGTGGCTTGGTCTGTGTCCACCTGCACTGTGAGAGCTCGATTTTCTTCTTTGTTAGCCGTGGCCCAGAGTAGAAACAGGAGCACTCATCAGAGTGAGAGCAGTGTGAAATGCGTTCAGACATGACCTGACAAAACTTAAATGTGCCAGTAGCAAAAAGCACTCAGTAGCGTCCCCATTCTTTCTCTCCCCGACCCCAAAATGCTGCTGTTTGGAGCACCTTTGGAACCATCTTGTGCACTGTGCCCATAGAGATTACAGGCCACAAAGTTTGCCAAGTTTTCTTAACCTGTCATAAACCTGACAAGAGAGCAACTGAGCCACAGACCAAGTGGGACTAACAATTTCATTAGGAGCTTGTTTTAATTAAAACGTATGCTTGTTTGAAATTAAAGGTCTATGTTCAATTTTTTTTCAGGAATTTTGCCCCTGGATTCTGAAGAGTCTGGTCTTTGTGAAGTTATTCTAGTTCATGAGCATTATTTGGGTATGTAGTTCATATATTTTGCTAATATTTGCATTTACTATATCTTTAGATGTCAGTTTAGCTTTTCTAATAGGGAGCTAATTAACTTGGACCTTTGGGCAAACTTGTTCTCTATAGCAACATTCAGACATTCTGTCTACTCCACTTGTTCATAGAAGCTTTGAATATTATGTACTCTCAAGGGTTTTTTCTTTTGCTGTTATCTTTTAATGGGTTAATATTTTGCCTAAACCACACAAGCTGACTCTTTGTTTTTTCCTCCTTCTAACTTCCCTTTTTGTTGCTTCATTGTCTTTTCCACTTTTTCCTCACCTCATCTGTCACAAAATTAAATGAGGAGAAATTTTCTTTTTTCCCCTCATTTTGACTCAATCCAGGAACATCACTTGTGACCAGACTAACAGATGGGATAAAATTAGCAGACTAGAAGCTGGAGAAAGGAATTTTCAGGGAATGAGGATCAGGGAAAACCTAGTATTGAAACATTCTTTTCAATTATTGTAAGTTTCCAGTTTCCCCATTCTGGGCATAGAGTGCTTTTATGTGTAGAATACTAAATTTGGGAATATATGCGCTTCTCCCAACAGTTTGTTGTGTTACTTTGAGCAAGCTACTATTTTGCTCTAACTAGTTTGTATTGTGCTTCTGTAACTGTCCATGAATTCAACCTGTGTAGTTATGAGATGCCTCCTTTAAATTTGTTTACACCAAAACAGAAACCCTACTTTCATTGCATAAAATATGGTAAAATATCCTCTCCGTGTTTTTTAATATATATGAGAGGTAAACAAGTATTATTTATGTTGACTTGTTTGAAGGTGAAATCTTCCTGACTAGCTATGGCAGTTTTTGCAAAATAAGTCATGGACTCATGGAGATGAAAAAATACGGTTTATTCGTTGTAACACTTAAAAGTAGAAATCAAGCAAAATGAAATCTAGAGGTCTGTGCTGCCTTATCACTATTTACATTAGCTGTAGGCAGAAAATACTTCTGACTTTGTATTACCTTCAGGAGCTTACTTTGTGCTAAGTAGTATGAACTGGCACACAAAGTGACGATGCTGGTGATGACCCCTAGAATTCTTTTCCAGCACACTGAGAAATGATCCCAGGTGGTCGCATTGCTTATGTTGTTTCATAGCTTCCCCGATTCAGGCTACACTGTCAACTCTTATTCTTAAAGGGACAGACCAAACTTTTCCAGTCTTTTTCTTTTCTAGTGTGCCTCAAGGAGATTGCGCTTACTTAGTTCAGTTCTATGCCAGACTCTCAGCTGGGCTAGGATGATTTTCTAGCTTAGTATCAAGGTCTCTGCTAAATCATGTAAATTGCTTACATTAAAAATGGTGTTTGAACTTGTGATTTCTAGTTAACAGACTACTTAATTAACGTTACTTCCCCAGGCTTTTAAGCGTGTGGATAGAATGTGAAAACTCTTACCTGTCTTGTAGGTAGAGACAACAGAAAACAGAAATGACAGATAATGTTATCCTGACCTTTATCTCTCTTAAAATGTGATATAACCTCCAGAAGCTGTTCATACCAATGGATTATGAAGTAGAAGATTCTAACCTATAGAGAAAGAAAATTAGGAACTCATGGGTTGGAACTCGCATTGTATGTTCTCTGTGTCAGAATTATCTCTGTGAAAAGAAGAGACCTCCACAGATCATTTCTGTCAGGAGGTTATGGTAGGAAGTGGATCTCTCTTTCTTTTTTTCCTGTTTAAATACTGTATTTGTATTTCCTCACAAGAGTGCTGCAGAAGCAAACTGATTATTCTTGGAATAACAATTGCCTTTTCCACCTGGACTCCATGTAGCTGACCTAATGCTGCCATGAGCCACAACCTCGGAATATTGCCTTTGTGAAATAGATCATAATTACACCCGTAGATCATTTGACTTGTATAATTTTTTTCATGTTTTAGAAATTTATGAAGTCTAAAAAATAATTCTGAGTGAAATGTCAGGGACTTGCTGCTTTTTTTTTTCCCCATCTGGTTGGTTTGTTTGTTTGTTTCCCCCAAATTAGTTCGTAAACCAGAAAAAGTTTGTTGGGTTGAAGCAGCCGGGACTGTTCGTGATGGTGTCCGAGCATACACAGCTTTACACTACCTTTCCCAAGTCTCTCCTGGAAAAACTGTCCTTGTAATGGATGGAGCAAGTGTAGGTAACAACTGTGCAATAATAACAATTTTGGAACAGAAAGATTACCTCTGCCGTAAATAACTGTCTTATCACCAGAACGACTGAATTTCTTACAACATACTAAACTTATCAAGCCTAGTATTTTACTCCTGGCAGTGCCTGTAACTTAATGGATTAATAGGAAAGGCCCTCCCACATAAGATACTGAGCCAAGAATACAGTCCTTTATATGTTCTGTGGGTAGTGAAGAGGTAGTTCTTTTCTGGTGTTTTACATTGACAGAGTTTTACCCTAAGCCCTCAGGTATAACTGGAGGAGAGTGCCTTAATTTTTTATTCCTTTCCCACCACTGCTTTTTAACTTCCCTTAGATATAAGTAATTTCATTTGCATTACTCCAATCTTTATTGCTAATGAAGATGTGGAGCTTGTCTCAGCCAAGATTCATTAATGTAAATGTGGCTGGGGCTTTTTCCTTGGTAGCACTTCTTCCTTCAACAAGCAAGCAAGCCCAAAGCTACAAGTTGCAATTGCAGTTATGGTACTTGTGTTACTTAAAGTAGAATCTGAGCTATTTTGTTGAAGAGGAGAACTAGTTAACTCCTAAAAGTTTGTTCAGAGCTTCCCAGTCAATGAAAAGACTTTTTTGGCCTCACTTGGAACAGAAGCAGATCTGTGAATATTCAAATTCTTGGTTCAGATGTGTTTTATTGAAGGAGTAAGTTCATTTTTGGATACTCTCCTGACATCTCCTGAACATCCTTTGAAATATAATCTTTCTTAAACTGCATCAAATTGTTGCTGTAAATAAATTAATCTACATTTTTTCTTCTGCAGCCATTTGGTACAATAGCTATTCAGCTAGCGCAACATAGAGGAGCTAAAGTAATCTCTACTGCATACAGTCTTGAAGATAAGCAGTACCTGGAGAGGCTAAGACCTCCTGTGGGTAAGTTATATTCTTCAGTGCTGGAGTTTATGCTAAAGAATGTCTCAACTTTTTTTTTTTTAGTATAGGGATTTATTTCAGTAGCTGAAAACTGAAATACAAATTTATAAATAGTCTAATTAAATAGTTCAAAAATTTATTCTGTACTCCATAGGTTTTTTAATTTATATTTTATGTGTATTTAATGGCATTTTTATTCTTCATTTAAGTTGTGATGACTGTCTCTCAGTGTTTTCCATCTCGCACAATAGTGCTTGAGCACTAGCTTTTGGCCTAACTACTGAAGAAGTATTTTCATTTTATAAAATTCTTGCTTGTGAACAAGAAGAAAGCATTACTAAATCACCAGTATCACAGTATGTAATCTAGGTACCTGAGCCAGAGTTCAGATGTAATCATATACTTTATTCATGAGTATTCATCAGACTCAAATTACTTCTAATAGTATTTTATCAAGCTGTGTGGCAGCTCGCTTTCAAGTACTGTCATAACTGTAGCTGGACGCTCAAAGGCTCTGCATTTTCCGATTTTCCAAATGAGCTTTGCATTAGACGTAATACATGCATTCGTCTATGACTTCTTCCATTTTTTCTCTTTGATACTTCAGTTTGGGGGGGGGGGAAGAGTTCCCTCAAAATAACAGTGCTATTTGGACCATGGGAAAAGACTCTATGTAAAAGCTACTAACATCTTTCCTGATCAAACTTTTTCTTATTTCAATGCTGCAGAGTGGAGGAAAGTAGAATATTTCTTTATTCAGACAGTTTTAAAATGGCATTGCAAAGTCCAGTTTGATTGCAGTTCATGAACTTTGCTGTACAGTGAACAAAAGGTTAAAACTAGTGTCTGATACTTCCTCCTCAAAATGCAAAGTCTGCCCCAGTATAATCACCAAATTTTTTTTTCAGCATATGATTTTTGTCGTCATTCAAAGAAGTTTACATAAGAGTAGCTGTGTCTCTTGGAAGAGTATCTTCGTGGGGAAAGCATCGTGTAGGCAGTTATCATGTCTACATATATTACAGTCACATCAATCAAAAAATATATGGGTTAAGATGAGATCCAATTAAAAAGATAATGTAAAGGTTAACTGTCCCTGACTCTGACTCCTTTCTCCTTTGTTGTTTTGCATAGTAATATTGTTAGCGATCTTGGCTTTCCAAATGGCGAATTAGAGCAGTTTTCAAATCTCCTCTCTTGTTCTTAGTGACTCACTGAAATCAGGCATTGCTGATATGCAGGTGCACATAGTATTGTCCTTGTGTTCTCCCTGCTGGCTCAAGAATAGTAAGCTAGCAGAGGGATGAAATAAGCCAGAGAGCTGCTCTTTAGACACAGAGAGAACAGAGTTCTTGTCAATTTTAATTCCTTTCTGGCTCCCGAGAACAGAACTGGCAGTGGAAGCACAGAGACAACACAGTGTGCATGTGCGTTCTGGGGCTGCACGTTCACACACATCTGCAGTGTTGGGGAGTGATTCACTTCCAGCCTACCAAGTGAGTATTTAGCTCTTCCAGTAGTGGCTTTGGAGTGCTGATAATGCAGCAGGAAGTGGAGTGCTGTGCAGAGGTTATTACACAAGAGCAGGGAGAAAGACTTTTTTGCTGTCTGACCTTAGTGATCTTCAACAGGGAACTGCGAAGTTTTGTGTTGGGAATGTAATCATTTCTTCTAAGACCTGGCAGACTTACGTCTCTAGATTTTTATATTACCTCAGGGTTTTTTGCAACTTCACGAAAAAGCTGTTTTTTCCTTTTCTTATTTCAGAAGTCTTTTTTACTGTAATAGTAGACATTAGAGACATCAGAACATAAAGCGTTTTTGTGAATGCTGTTGATATGCAGGGGTTGGTTATGCCAGCTGTTACAGGGTAAAAGAGTAAATACAAAATACCTAAAACTTTGCTGTGTAATATTTTATGGGTATATCTTGCTAATGATATGAAAACTTTATTAGCTAAGAAAGGACTTTGCAATGAACTTTATTATCATAGTCCTGTCAGCACATATGAATAGGACTTTGGGTTGCTCGGCGTATTTACTTTTTGTTGGCGTTTTTAAGTTACGTGAATGTTAATACAAAATAAATGCTCTAAGTAACCCAAGCATAGCTAGCTGTATCTAAGCTGGCTTCTAATGTCTGTGAGTAGAGGCTTTTTCAGTTTTGTGCTTGTTTAGTGGGTTTTTTGGTTTAGTTTTTAGCAAGAGTCTATCAGTTGTCAACGAGCAGCAGTTTGTGTTATCAGTGTATAGCATAACTAGCTGCTTCATAAAATGGCTGAAATAACCATCTCTTGCAGTGAAAAGGCCATCGCTTATATTGCTCATGTATGTGCTTGTTTTACAACAATAGTAGTTTAGTTTAGCAGTTTTGCAAATGTTTGTGGAACATAAACGTTAGGGGAAGAAAATCTTAATTGCAACTTTACTTCAAATAAAGAGATATAACCTGGGTACAGCATTAAAAAGAGAAACAGTTTGAGTGTGAAAGCAAAAAGCCACTATTTTTGCGTTTTGGGGTTTTTTATGTTTGTTTGGTTTTTTGGGTTTGGTTTTTTTTAATAAATATGATTCCCGTGCCTGAAGTAGAAGTTCCTGTTAATGTTTAAGGATTCATATTTAGACCAACAGGATGGGGTCTTTGCATGTCTTCAGTAATCTCTGGAGTAAATATAATAATAGTATGAAGGAGGGGATTATAACAAATTATGGCATTTTAATGCCCATGTTTCAGACTAGACACAGAATATTAAATAAATAATGCGATGAGTTTCTGTTAGAGAAAAAAGTATATATACACACATACATATTTCTTCTGTTCCCTAGGTTACCCTCTTCTTTTTTTGGTTTGGTTTGGTTTTGGGGTTGTTTTTTTTTTTTTCCTTAAAGCCAGTATTGAGCTTTCAGTGGATACGTTTCTGGTAAGAACTCATCAGTGATTTCATGGCTCTCTTGAGCATGTTCAACAAACCAAGTAGCAGACCTTTTGTGTGCCAGTTTTTAAACTCTGTAGCTGAACTTACTGGGTGAGAGGAAACTCTGGTAGCAAGTTGTGGAAATATGGGTATTTCTGCTTCTCACAAACAGTGAAAGAAGACAGAAACTGAAGCCTTTATGCCAGTCAGAATAATGTTACTTTAGAAGTTGTGCAAGTCACAGAAGAAGAAACTGAACTAATTTACAAATGTTTTGTGAGAAATTTTGCATACATGACAAAGGATTATAGCAAATTATGTTATAATTTGTTGCTCATCCTTTTCCACAGCGGAGAGAAATTGTTACAGCATTTTGCTAGGAAGGAAATTGAACGGGATTTTGATGAGTACTGTTTGAACTATTGTATTAAGTAACAAAACTGGAAATTTTTGCTAAACAGAGATCAGAAAATAGTCAAACTGATTAAACTATTGCCTTTCTTTTTGATAGTCAGGCTTTGAGTCTATTAAGTCAGAATTATTCTCAAAAAGTGAAACTATTTGCAGAAACTTTATACCATGTCAAATTGCCGTGTTAAGAAAAAACTTTTAACTTCTTGACTGAAAAAACTAATAAGAAAAGGATATTATGGGGTTTTACTTGCATACAGGGAATGTGACTATCATTATTAATGTGACATCTTTATTAAATTATAACCATGTGTCTTCTCTTTAGCCAGGTAATTTGACTTCAGTGAAAAAATTGAATGATTGACCTAAGAATTTGAATGCATCTTATGATTTGATTGGAACAAAAAAAACCCAAAACGCCAAAACCCAAAGCGTTAACTGAGTATTTGTTAATATTCTTCTTAATGACCAGTTTCTTGCAATTTTTCTTCTCTCCTTCCTTCCCAACCCCTGTGATTAAATTCAAGAAGGTATACGGCAGCCTTTAGTGGGTAAGTACACATTGCAAATTTGAGTATAATCCATTATGCTTTGGAAATGTGCCTCCAAATTTATTTGAAGTTATTTCAGTTATCCTTTTGCTGAGAAGTCTTTGGCCTGTTCAGTTTCTGAATGTTTGTTCTACCTCATAATTATGAAACAAAACTAAAAGCCTTAGCTGCTACTTCTCTGCCCTAGTTATTCCTGATGCTGTAGTTTATCTTTATAACCCTCTATAAATATGGTATCACAGATACATGAGAAGAAAATGTATTAGCGACTTTCAGTTCAGAAATATTTCAAGAGATGTAAATACTTCCATCTAAGTATTTATTTAATGACCCAGAGAGCCATTTAGAGGTTAAAAATATCATGCAGAAAGTAATATATTAAGAAGTTTGTCCATGCTGTGAGATAAGTAATGATGCTACTAAGCATTATTTTAAAGAAAAGATGGATATAATAAGATTAAGAGACTTGCTGGAATCATAAGAAAAGTCAAGCCAGTGCCTCGTAAGTGACTGAATTCTATGCGTTTTTACATGTTTACTTCTGACTTTCACTGGGAGACAGGGCTGCATGCCAAGGAGAATATGTTTTTGTTTCCCACTATGATGTGGAAGTAAGAGAAGGGCTCTGCAAGGGACTGGCAGGAAGTGGTGATTTTTATGTAGAGTAAGGGAAGAAAGCTATGCTTGGAAATCTCTTCCAAAGCATTACTGCTATGGTTATTTGATAGATAATTTGCAAGTTGGGAGACGTGAAATAAGGTGCATCCTTATCTTTTGGCCACTCTTTTTTGCTTCAGTAACGTGGCTAGTCACTCTAGAACTTGGTATTTTTGAAGGCACTTTCGGGAAAAAAAGAATAGCAAAGAACGAACTTCCAGAAGGATTTCTAATTCTTATAGTAGCATACTTTATCCTTTTTGGCCTAAACAGACTTGTGAGTTTTACTTCTGCATTAAGCTAATGCATATTTTTGGTGTTGATCTTGCACTGTATTGGAAAATGAAAAAACTGTCAGCTAGTTTTTTTGACTTAGCTGCAAACTTGCTTGTAATACTTTCAGAAACTAGAAATTTTCTGTTCTGCTCTGAATCTAAACTCTACATTTTTATTGTAGTTGACCAAATGTACTGCTCTTTCTAGCTCGAGTGATAGATGTATCAAATGGAAAGATAGATGTGGCAGAAAGCTGCTTGGAAGAAACGGGTGGCCTGGGAGTGGATATTGTTCTAGATGCTGGAGGTATGTAACTGATGAAAATCTGGTCTTCAGAGCACCATTAGTGGGGGGGGGTTTATTGCTATTTCCAAATAATACAGGTGGAGGCTGCATCACCTCAAATGATTACATTTAGTTGGTTGTTCCATGCAATTTTATGTATGTATCTTTACTCAATACATCTCCTTAAGCAAGATCTCTTTAAGATCTCCTCATATCACCCTCTAGTGGAAGCATGTAATACTGTTAGTCATCTGCTAAATTTGTCTGAAATTTTCTTCTATTTAAAACTGAAAATAAAAAAAATGCGTTTAAAGAGTAGAGCTGTGACATCATTGTTTATACTACCTTATTTTAATATAAAAATTACGCCATATTCGCCAGTACTGTCAACCTGTATTCTAAAAACAATCGTAATAGTTGAAAACTCTGAAGTTAGTATTTTTAGCTGAAATAATCAAAGAACTTCTTAGAGTTCCACTGAAATGGGTTAAAAGAAACATATATTGAATTTACTAAATCATCTACTTTCTCAGATAGTCTCATGCGACTAACAGCATAATTTAATTGTAGTGCTGTTCCAGACAGCCATCTTTCATTGTGTGTATTCATATGCATATATTGCAACTCGTTTGTATCTGAAGAAATAGGACTGTGAAGAATCTGAAGATACGTGGTTTTCAGTATAGGAAGAGATAGATGTTTCATTCTGAACAGAATTTTCTTCTGAGCTCAAATTAATTTGTTCTTTTCTCCCCCCCCGCCCCCCCCCGCACAATTATATAGTGCTGAAGATGAATCAACTTCAAAATCACAGTTGCTGCCTCATAAGCATGATATCATTACTCTTCTTGGTGTTGGGGGACACTGGATAACAACAGAAAAAAACCTGCAGGTACAGATACTGTGTCAGTAAGTTAGTTTGTACCACAGTATGTATCTGGATGTGTCTATGAGCTTCTGTCATGGCTGAACGGTTCCCCACTGTTAAATAACGTCAGTTTTCACGTAAGAAAACTTTCACATCCAGAAAATGGGAAGCATACAGCATTAATAATAAATGTTTTTATTTTCCTTTGGGACAATTTTGGGGCTGTCTTCTCTAAGATGATAGTAACTTATGTTAATAGCTTGGCTATACTGACAAACTTTAAAGGACCTATTTTGTTTGGCTCAGGGTATTAAACTGTTTGACAAAACAGAAAAGTATCATTTAAAGCTGTAAATATTACAAGTTTGCTAAGTTCTAGGAATGGGCAAGGGGTTACCTAAATAACACTTTTCTTCATTTTGTTTAAGCTGGATCCTCCAGATAGCCATTCCTTGTTTCTTAAAGGAGCCACAGTCTCCTTTCTGAATGATGAGATATGGAACTTGTCCAATATACAGCAAGGGAAGTATCTCTATATCCTTTTGATGGTCATTTTCAATACTGACCGCTAATATGAGCGGATGGAAATATAACCGAGAAACCAACTAATAGCTTCTCTTCTACTCAGTCATGTAACCACAGGCTTAAAGGGCAGCACAGCTAAGCATACAATGTAACTAAAATAGAACATACACTCATGTTTTAAGCTAGTCTCTGCATTCCTTCTAAATATATGTCTCTACATGCTTCATTAAAAGCAGTGCTGAAATAGAAAACACACATTCTGGAGAAAATGCAGTATTTTGGTTCAAGATCGAACCAATTAATTGAAGACTTGATTCTATAAGGTTTTACATCATGCATATGACATTTCTGAAATTTTTTTTTGTTCTTTTGGGCAGTAGATGCATCATCTGTAAATCTTAACATAATCAGTTTAACTGTAAAAGTTAAAATATTTTGGCTTCGTAACCTTTTCCCTATTTGCTCAATAAATTTTATGTACATAACATTGCAAAGATGTGGGTGTGGGAAGAGGAATGTCTCCTTCATTTGCATTACCTACATTTGGTCTTAAGCAGCTGGACTCTGAGCTTTCTACTAGCATGACAGTTCAGTGGATCGCTTCAAGTAAGGGAAGGTTTGTCTGTTTATGGCTTTAAGGGCCCTCCCTGTTCTGTACTGCACTGCAGATTATGAGATCTGCTGAATCACTTTTGCAGTTTAGCAGAACGGCAGAGGCAGGTGAGGATTAAGTCATTATATTTGTGAAACAACTAACTATACTGCAAGGAAGTCCTCCCCTCCTCCACTAAACTGCAAAGTAGATTAGGCAAGGTCAGGCACACTAAGGAAATACTTATGGGATGCAGGTTATCATGAATCGTTTTATAGTTTGGTATTTTTGTTGAATGCTTACTGAGTAGTTATCCACATAGAAGTAGTAAGCTTTCTAAACAGTAATATTTCTTCTGTCGTCTCCTGGAGTATCTTTAATAACGGCAGCACGTTTTATCACAACAGGCTTTAAAAGTTAAAAGGAAAAATCTGTTTTTTCTTTTTGTATCTGTATATCTTGTGAAATTCTTGAGCATATGGCATTAATATCATCTGAAGAAATCGCAAGGCGATTGCTTTTTAAAATGGCTTGAGCTTCAAACATTAACCAGATTGCTCTTAAAATGAAGGAAGGAATGTTATTTTTGTGAGTTTCATATAAAGACTAAATACAGCCTCATCCGTTGCATTGTCATGAATGTTAGTCATTAACTCAAAGATCCCTTACAGATGCACAGTGGTGCTCCAAGAATTTACACGCTCTGCTATGTTCCCAACTTTATTTTGATTTTTACCTCAGATGTCTGTATGAATAGTAGGGATAGTTAACTGGTATCAAAGTGTGTCATCTTCATTCTGCACAAAAAATGCAATTGCCATTCTGATTGATTAATGTTGTATGCATTTGTCAATCCTTTTGCTTTATGTTTCAAAATTCCATTTTCCATATTTCATTTCCACATACTATTTCAGGAAGGGAGGTTTCTGATATATAAACAAGTGCATAAATCCGATCTAAAGATTGGAATTAAGGTTAATTTTCATTTTGCCTTGATCCTGCTGGTTTTGTATCAATACAGGGCTCTTGCCAGGAAACGTGATTATAGAAAGATTTATCTGTAGATACGTTGTTACCTTGACAGTGCTCTTAGATACCCATCTTAGAAGATACAATGGAGAAATTATCAAGTAGCATTTTCAGGTGAGAGATGTGATTTCTTTTTTTAATGTCTTTTTTTTTTCTCCAGCATTAGAAGTAGAAAGCTCTTTCCAGCACTGTACAGCAAATTTATATTGGGATGTTCAGGAAAAGGTGCCTCGCATAGCTTATATGGAGCAGTTCATGGTCTATTTCTGTTTGTAATATAGCAGGCTAAGCACAAGGAAACTTGGTAAACCCCACGATCATGCTGTATGTCAAAATTTAACAGGCAGCACATTCTTTTCTTGGTGGAGGAAGAGCATATATCTGGCTGCTCAGCAGTGTGTCTGATTGAGAAATGGTGTTGGCTGTAAAAGACGTTAAGTCTGTCTAATACTCCTCTGAGAAGAGTGACAGCTTCACTAGATATGAAGACTCCCGTAATGAGGTGGGAATGGAAGATCCTTTCTCTTAATGCAGGATAACGGTATTGCTGTTGAGCAAAAGCCTCACTGCCACTTCCTGCCCCTTCCCTCCATAAGAAGGATATCTTTTAATTAACTTCTGTTTCCTGTTTGCTTTAGGGCTCTTCCCTTCTTCTGTGAACCCAAGTAATGCTATAAAACTTTTATTTTGTTTAAGGAGTAAAGTTTACATAGTGAAAGTAAAGTCTATAGCAGTAGTCCTGCAATATTTCTGTTGATCTGAGCATGCTCACCAGACATTTCTGACATACTGTTCTGTTTTAGGCCTCAGCTGGATGAACCGATCCCATTGTATGAAGCCAAAGTTTCTATGGAAATAGTTCAGAAGAATCAAGCAAGAAAAAGACAAGTCATCCAGTTCTGACATGCAATTTCCTGATTTCTAAGCCTGTGGAAGATAAAGAAACGTAATGTATTTGAGAAGTAAATTAAGTGTACACTTTAAAATAATTCTGTAACCAGAATTTAAAGATCTTTTGTACCTCAGCACAAGCGGTCTGTGAAGCTCCTGTGACTTCAGGGTTTTTTGGATCCAGTTGAGCAGAACGTTCCCATCAGCAACTTCTAAAGAGGTGGTCTTGACACACAAATCTTGTTTGCCTTGCCCTAATTACAAATGTCAGTAACATCTACAGGCAAACTCAGTTGCTGTTGTTTTTCAACCATAAGAAATTAAAGGAGGAAAAAAAAAAAAAGATCTGGTGTTTTTTATTAGTCCTCCCTTCTCCAGCCCCTACCAATAGTCACCTTTATATTACCTTTTGCTTTTGACTGCACTGAGACTGAGCACTCTCTGCAGTACACTTAAGTCTTTAATCCACATTTGAAATTGTTACTTAATTGAAAGACAGGCAAAACCCTCAGAATTGGCAAGGATGCTAGAGGGGAAATGGCACTGACAGTAAGAGTTCCCCCCACAGCTGATTTTCTTCATTTTGGCAACCAGGCAGTAAACCTAGAGTCTATAAGCTGATCGTGTCATTATGTATCTTGTTACTGTAACGTTATCTTTGATATCTTTCCAGTAAGACCTTCCTATGCTGTGCACTTTCACTTCCCCTCTTCCAACAGCAGTCCTGTGCCTAGCACGGCTCAAATGTGTTTATCCAACATCCCCCATTACCGTGAACCATCTGCAAATCAGCAGTAGGGAAGGAACTGCTGTTTTTCTTTCTTCAAAGCATATGGCTTCCTACTTGCTCTTACTTGAGAGCAAAAATATTTTTTCTGTGCAAGTGTGCTATTCATTTTCACTGTGTGGATGGCTCAAACAGTGGACACCAGCACTTTAAACCAGTGCTAGTTGGAACATTTCAGTGAAAATAGATTAATCATGGTTCTAGATAATCTATCTTCTATCATTCACCGGACTTGTAGTAGGTTCTTGATAAATGATGCAAGGGAAGCATATAAAAGCATGAGTAAATCTTATTTTACTACTAATGTGATGTAATGCAGCCTTGAAAAGAGGTGATGCTTTTATGCACGTGTGTACACACACACGTCTAAAGCATGTGAATCCTCTGTTGGATTGACATTTATTCTGAAGCTTTGTACCCAACTGCTTATCTTTTCCTGGTGGTGTTCACTTAGCTTAAAAGTCACAAAATAAAGTAGATCAGAGGAAACAAAATAAGAGTTAAAAAGTAAAGGTCTAATAAAACAGGAGCAACCACTGACAAAACTGCAGAAGGATTTTATAGCATAGTTTTTATTTTACTAGACCTTTTGTCCGTAGATATGTTGCTCCTAACTACATATATAAATGCCTTTTGAACCCCACGTACAGTAGACTGAGGCTAGCTATTGCTGAAGCGGTCTTAGTCTTTCAGCTGGATCAGGTTATGAAGCAAATGTCTCTTTGTGCTTTGGGTGTTAAGCTGCCTATTGGTGCATTTGTTTGGCTGAGATGTCTCAATTTTCTAATGCTCTTTAATAATGCTAGATTTAGATTTACATGTGCTTGAACAAGAGGGTTCATGAGGCTCCCTAAGCAATTGCTTCCCCTTTCGCACATCCCCTGACAGCAGAAAGTAGTTTTGAGCGCGAGAGCAAGGCTCTCCAGCTCTGGAGGGAATGGCTGCCAGGTGCTTGCCTGTTGCTTCGTAGCTTTGACAAGAAAGTAGCATGTGCTTCGCTGCTATCTGTACGCTGATCTGACAGCCCCGTGAAGGCTGCCCATGGTCTCCTGTAGCGCTAATAACCGTGAGAGGCATGCCAGGAGCAGTGCCAGCTCAGGCTCTTGCCCAGGTTTTGCTGAGGATGCTTCTGCTCTGCTGAGCTGAAGCCCCATGCAGCCAGAAGATGTGTGGATGATGCATAGATTGCTGTTAAGGGCAGCCACATGTCTTCAAAAACAGCTTTGTATCTGGATTATTTTGTAATCCATCATCGTTTTATTTAATAGCCTTCAGAGCTGTGTTTTGGAAAGGATCATCTGTCTAGCACGTGCTGAAAACTACTGCCCGTTTTTTGCTGGTGAGGGTACGGGTGCCTTTCTGCAAGGAGTCTGAAGCAAAATACTCTAGCATGGGCCCTAGCCAGTGCCACAAATCACAATCAAAACTAGTTTTCTGCACCAAATATGCACAGTGTGTGTTTAGTCTCACATTTCACACAACTGTAACCATGTTCTAGTATCTTCACAGGTGATTTTTGTCCTGGTGCAGCCGTGTGGCGATTTCCTTGATACCTGACTGGAGAAATTAATTCAGGCTGGTTTCAGAACGGATTCAGAAATCCATTTACGTATTTTAGCAGTAACGCTTTTTTTATTTACTAGCCGAAGCGGGGTGGGAGAGCGGTGG